TTCTGTAGCATCCCAGTGATTGCTATTTTCCAGCGCTGATTAAGGTTTATTTCAGAGTTTGTTGCATAGTTAAGCCTGCGATATTTGAGAGCTATTTCAGCAATGATTCCGTAAAAACTATCGCTAAAACTTAAAAAGTTTTAAATCATTCCAGCACCTTTCAAATGCGAGTAAGGTTTTATGAGCTCTTTAACTTGAGGATATCTAAGTCTTGGTGGCGGAGAGGTAGCATACATGTTTAAAAAGCTGATGATTGGAGGGAGCGAACCCAGGTAGTTGACTATTTTTGCTGATTTTGATAAGTTTTTTATCGCTGTTCCATCGCTGAAAATTTAAAAAAAAATCAACGATAATCTAATCTATTGATAAAATTTGCTATTGTGGCAATAAACATCGATAATTTATCATTGGCGATCGCTGTTTTGTTTTTCACTTTTTCATCGCTAATTTTCAATATGAGCTCAACACGGGTGATGAAATTATTTAAAATGATCAAGTTAGAGGAGTTAATTGCCAGACAATCCTTACAGCTGGCTCCTCATACTGCGCAAAAACAAAAAGTAAAAATGAAAAAAAAAACCCGCAGCATGAAAATCTCGCTAAATACTTCTGAAAATCGCGGTGTTGACACTGATTTAAATCTCAGAAACAAATATTTCTGCAAGTAGCCGAAGATTTGTATAGCCTGATATATGCCTAAAATCATTATCATTAGTTATTTTGTCTATTCAATTTTTTCAATGGGAGTAACAATAGTGGTTAGAATATTTAAACTTTTGAATCGTCGAAAGCAATTGTCTTGATTTTCAGTGACAGGCTGAGATTGTTCATCTCTTGAAGAAAACTTCCTCTGCTGTTTTAGCTGACCCAAAAGTTTAGGTTTTTTGGCCTGTTCATGATTTTTTTTCGACAACATGAATTTTTGTAAAAACCAATCGTGGTTGAAAACAAATTTATGCGAGTTTTATCATCATCAGCCACGTGAGAGAGTTCCAACCCTGTACTTTATACAATTGGCGGTTGTACAAAAACGAAAAAAAAAAGAAAACTCTCATTTATTGAACCGGTCGAAAACCAGATTTCGCAATAAATTTGCATATTGATTGCGCCTCTGGCAAACATATCAGAAACAAAAAACTGTTTAAATTTAAAAATGCGCAATGGATTTGTAAAAAAGTTTATTTTAAATTAGGTTCTGGTGCAAAAAAAAACATTTGGTTTGCTTGAATTGATTTTTGAAATAGACAAGAACATTAAAAAAAGTTTCCGAACATTCTAAGAATTGATTTTCCATATTACGTTTTGTTTTGGGATAGTGACAAAAAATCGCATCATAAAGAGTTTATTTTTATCATTTTTTAATCTATGTACGATAAAATGAAAAAGTTTATAGGTAAATCGCGCCCAAGTTATGCCCGTCTCAATAAAAATAAAAGGCGCAAAACTTTGAAAAAAGGCAGAAGGCAGTTAAATAATATAATCAGAGAAGCAAAAAGAAGCCATATTTTGACCTTGAAACTTTCGGAATGTTTTTTTTTTGAGAAAATAGAACAAAACAATGATGAAAAATGGGCTTTAAGTTGTATGAGATCAAAATAACATCGGCCTTCTTATTAAACTTAATTTCAGATCACCCTTAGACCTATTCATTTTGAAATTAAATTGCTGCAAATAAAAACCTAGATTCTAATTTGCTGCAATTTCCAACGAAGTGCCAAGTTAACATCCTCCCCCCTAAAACGCTTAATTTGGCAGGAAGTTATTTTTGTCCAAATTTTAGTACAATTTAAACTGTCGGTGTTAGACCCACCATGATCCGATCTCAATGCCTGTGAGGTCACAGAAAAACTCGCATGCATGTTTCAATAAAGTGATACAACAGACTTTTGCCACGATGAGCTGAAAAACATTTCTTTCCCTCGAACTTGGTTGGTCCTAAAAAAGTTTGCTACCATTTCTATGAAGTTGATGAAATGAATTGAAGTTTCTCCGAGGTTTCATTTCTTAAAAACGTCAAATACAAAGTTCAAACTTTTCCAAATCTCAGTGTGACCTTGCCTGTCTAAAGTAGTGTCTTTCTATAATAAAGCCAAGAGCGAATTCCGTTTGATTTTCTTTGTACAATTATTTTTTTTATCCTCATTAATAAATGTAAGCGAAGCTCAAAATATTTTCTATTTTAAGAACCTGTCATACAAAAGGTGCTTTTTTGGATGTGATTATTGCGCGCTTCGCTTTACGCTCTAATTAGTTAACAAAGACAAGCTATTTGTAGACAGCAAAAAACATCTATTCAAATATCATAAAAAACTGAAGCAAAACAACCGTTGTAGCTCATTACGAAACAATCCGAATTGAGTTAATTAGCTCTGTATACCATGGCGAAGATAAAAGTTTCGCAAAAAACAATTTTTCAATGAAAAATTGACGACGTTCCAATCTGAACTCACTTTAATTGCCAGAAAAAAAAACTTTCACGGATTTGCAATTTTTCAAAAACTTAAACTCAATTTTGAAATCAAATTATCTCATTTCTGACCGACGAAACTTATTTAATTTGAAACAATCAGCACTACTATAAGAAGATGGATTTTGGATTGTCGGAGTAAACAGAAACTTAACAAATTTAATTGAAGTCGAAAAGGTTTTTATAAAATTACCGAAAAAAGCTCACAATTGAAACCCAAAATCCAGAAATATCATGCTCGTATTAAGCCCGTATGGATTTAGTCTTTTTTAAAGTGGTGATATTTTAGCATGTAAAGTAGTCATTACTCTTGTATTTAGCACCAATTAGTCATTACAAAGTGATAACTTAGTGATTACTCTTCCTCGTCATTTTCAGTGGAAATGGTAGGAAATTGAGTTTTTTTTGCAAATCTCAGCTTTAAAAACAAATATCAGTCATAATTAGGCATTTTATCAATAAGGTTTTCTTCAGTCATGATTCGATTTGTATTAAAAAGTACCGAACAGTTTTGATTACCAATACGTGACACGCAATGCGCTTCCATGTATAATAATTAATTATATTGGATTTTCATGGTCTGTCTCCATAAACTTCTGAAACAATCGATTATAATGGATTAATAATAGATTATTAAGCAATAGAAGTAGAGAACAATTTCATCCATTGTTATCAATCATAAAGGAGTATAATGGTTTATAAAAGATTATGATGGATTATAATAGTTTTTTTTGTTAGAGCCTGGATTTTCCAAATTTTTAAGAGTAAATATTCAAAACTTGTAAGTTGCAATCGCTAAATTGAGTTTACATTTGGCTACAGCAAAAAATTGTATTGTTTACTGCCTTTTTTTACTTGTTCCCCCTCACCCACTATTTAGCCGTTACTTTAATTTACCGTTAGCACACGTGAAAAATATAGTAATTGGGTGCCCCCACCCCAATTCCCTACTGATGGGGGATATAGGTGGGGAATATAGGTGTGGGGGATATTTGTGAGTGGGGGGGGGGGGGTAAATTTGAGAAGACTTGGGTTTAAAGTGTGAGGAATAAAATTTTGCAAAAAATAAGTAAATGTAAGAAGGTTTAGAAATCGAGTAGGCTGTGAGTAATACAGAAGAAGCTGCAAAATTTCCAGAAAATTTGAAAAACAAATTACAAATTATAACTATTTGTACAGTCAATTATAATCCATTATAATCCATTATAATGGATGTTAATTAAATTTTAACTAATTTAATTTCTCTAATAATAATGGATTTTGAAAAACTATAATTGATTGCGTGGTCGCAAAGTGTAATTAAAATGCAACATTTTTGACCGCGAAAATCGATGATAGTACCTTATTATCCATAGAACTTCACTATGGGCAAACAAGGGTGTGTCTATCTCGATTAAGCATCAGTACAAAACCAGTGATTCTAATTTAATTAATGAACTTATGAGTCATCAAATCTATTCACACAGTTTTTCGAAGCCAAATTTATTATCTTGTTACTTGGGAAAAAAGAATGTTTAGAAAAAACCAGATGGCGAAATTTAAAAATGTTAACTCTAATTTTTTTTTGCTAAATTCATTTTTTTTACTATTCAAGCAAAATGAAGCTGAAAAAGCAGCAAGCCTCCTTCAGTGACCATGCTATCGACCAGACATTTTTGAAAATGCCACAGGAAATCATGTTTCCGCCCAAAATTGCACAAAAGAAACTAATCTTGACCCTGAATTGGCAGTTTGTAAGCTTTAATAATGTTTGTAAATTCTTGAAAAATGCCATTTTTGGCTGATTTTGAATCTTGGCTACAATGGTAAAAAAAAGCAGACCAAAATTCAAAATGACCTCTGAAAGAATTCCTCAATTAGATTTTTTCCGACTACTCTTCGGAGCTACCTCTCTGTTACGAGGAGTAGTGATTGTAATTGATTTCCTAATGCTTTTTTGACAGGTGAACCTTATTAAGGGCATTCTGATCCGCCTCCATGGGGGATTGTAATCCGCTCTTGCTTCTAGTTAGTTATTTTTACTGACTTAAAATTCATTACAACTAGCGGCACATCCTAGATTGTGTGTAGAATTTATAATGCTTTTCTCAACCCAACAAGATACAACTAGGCTAAAATTACATCTTGAAAATAAAAAACATCAGTTTTCAAGATATGAGAAACTAATAATGGTCATAAAGGGCATTTGTCCTAATGAAGACAAGTTTTTGGATCTACTTATGACTCCAAAAAAAATTAAAATCGATTTTGATTGTTTCGGTCAGTTGGCAAAGTTATCACATACTGAACTCATAATTTTTGTTCTTACATCTGCAGTCAAATATTAGTACAGTCAATCTAACTCAATGAAATAAAATTCACTAAAAACATGTACAAGGAAAATTGAATTCTTTTTGAGTTCCTCCCCTCTTTGCAAAGATTTTTAGTAAATCAATTTGTTTAATATTTTTTGAAGATAACTTAATCGTATCTATAGAATAATCTTTAAAAATTTTTCGGCCGAGTTATTGAATTAAAAATACAATTTACTAACCGGAGATCAAACTGCAAGTGATGAGTGGCAAAATCAGCATCTTCAGCATTCTAAGCATAATTTCTCCCGGAAACTTCAGAACGTAAATCGTGTAGGGCTCCGGCTCATACGTTCTAAGGATAAAACCCACGAGCGCCCCCATCAGAACCGCTAAGATTGTCAGATATAAAAGTAAATCATTGAGGAAAAATTCTAGAATTTTCTTTCCCATAGATTTGGGCTGTTGTTGCGATGTGGTGCCGCCATCGGCTTCAGCTGTTTCGCCCATGGTTGTGCAGTTGTATGTCAAGCTAAGGGTCAGAGGATCGAAGCTACCTGTGGTCGAGATACGTTATCTAAACGGATGCAATGAGTTAGTATATCATTTTCACAAAACTTAATACAAAAGCAGATAATACATGCTAATTCGATAGTTTTTATTCTGATTTTTGAAGCTAAACTCCAGACAAAATTTTAAAATTCCCAACATTTTAAGCTTGTTTGATTTATTTCCATAAAGCTAAATTGATCTTTTTACTTTGTTTAGTAAGACTTTTGAAAATAATGTTTTGGAAAATTTTGTTTAGTAGGATCATCAGCGAAAACAAACTTGTTTCAAGAAATAGTTTTTCTTTCTTTTGGCAGTTTTTGCTCTGATACAATTTTGCTGGTCGATAAGGAAAAAGTTCAAAAAACTGCTGAGAGAAAGCTGATCCTTTGAAATAATTATCTAAAAATAACACGGTTTTAGCAGTTTTTCGAACCAAAAACTCTTGCACTTCAAAGAAAAGCAGGTAGTTCCGAAGCTAACGACGTCAAAAGATATTCCAAGAAAAAAATACTCCCTTTAAAGTAAAACACACAAAGTTAACAATGAAGTTGAAAGTAACTTACTTATATCTAAATTCACTTTTGAAAGGTTTGAAATAAGTGAGCAAGCTCGAAATCCCTTTCTTCAATATCAAACAAATTGGAGTCAAGCTCAAACATACTTAAGAGATAAATTGAGAGTAGCTGGCATATATTTGACTACTCTGCAAAAACTAGTCTCTGAAAATCAAGGTTCATATAAAGGTGATTATGACTAGATGTGGGCAATCAAATCAATTTAGAAACTTATCGAGTTTGAAGATGCATGGTTTTTGTAAATTGCATGACAAAATGCGAAAAAACAATCTTAATTAAAACTTCAGGACAATCTGATCAACTACTATGCACTTTTCATTGTTTTATAATTCACAGTTATTATATATCACTATTTATGATGTTTGTTTTGAATATTCAAAAATAAAGTTTGCCGCCTTCTGTTAGGTGTCGAATACACGTGTTAAATAGCAAAAAAACACTCCTTATGTTTAAATATGCATGTTTTTTTTTTAAATGCAAAAAACACATCATGACAAAGGGCGAAAAAATTTCATGTTAAAATGCTCAAATCGAAGAAAAAATGTATGGTTTAGTTTTCTCAACATTTTGTTCCTTTCATTGTCAGAATTTTTACAAAATTCTGAGAAACTAGGACTGATTTGACTACAAAAAACAACGACAGAGACTCGTCTCAGTAAACCATGTTCGTCCATCGCTCAAAAAATCCATCTTGTTGACCATTAAACGACCATGTTGCATTTTGACCGAACAATTTTTGTTTAAGGTTTTTTAGATCAATTTTTTACAGAGTGGGTGCCAAATCAGAGTGGGTACCAAAATACTTATTTCACGTCAGTTTAAAGAGTAACTTTAAAAATTTTTTTGGCACAATGACAATTTTAAGGCATAGTGTTTTTTAACTCAACTATCTGGTTTTTGCTCCTTCACTCAAAACTCACTATTCGAGCATGTGCACGAAACACAGGTGCGTGAAAGTATCCGCCTTGACAAGAAATGGCTTGCAACAAAAATTGAGACTTTCAGAAAGGTAGTTCAGATCATTTGCTGTCGGAAGATATAATTTTTTGTTTGTACAAAATCTACGTAAGTTTTGTCTAAATTGTCCCAAAAATTAGCCATTTTAAAACAATTCCAGAAGGAGGAACCTTTGAGTGGTCACAGGGTCGAATGCCTGAGGTGAGGGTTTGTTGTGTTCCCCCTTAATTCCGCCCCTGCTACATGATTAATTTGCATAAGCGATAGCCAGTGCAATGATAATTGTTAATACAAGATAAAAAGTTTGAAAGTATGAGCTTTTCTGCTCAACTTTCAATCTGATTTTTGTTAATTAGTGGCAGAAGCCTCTGATATTACGTGAAACATAGCTCTTAAAGTCTATTTCTCATCAACAAATATTGAACTCCCCATTTCAATTAAAATGAATTAGAATTACACGGCAACCAAGCGGTAATGGTTCACTGTATATGAAGTTCGATGTAACACGTTTCTCAGTACTGCTACAATGAGCCCTTTATTAATTTCGATTATTTGTTGAAGTTATCAATATTGCAATGAATTGTCACCATGCGAAAAAAGTGTCATCTGGTTTAAATCATGCATTCTAAGTTTTTTTGTGTATCATGCCGCGGACAAACAGTCGAGAAAAATGAAATTTGCTGTTCTCCAAAGCAACTTTTGAAAATGTTATTTTTTGAAAGTCAGACCAAACAGTTTTGCTATTATCTTTAGTTTTACATGAAAAAAAAAACTGAAAAATAGCGCGTGAAACTTCTTTTTTTAGGTTCACTGGCGCGGTGTGAAAAGACTTACGAAGTAACTCAGGGGGGCAATCTGAAAATTAAAGAATAACGAGTTCTGATAATTGAAAAACAATGAAAAAAACTTACACACAGATGAAGTGTCAAATAAAATCTGCAGGTGAAATGGTATTCAATAATTGGAAAATAACTTGACGGTTTCAATCCGTAATAAATAGAGGATTAAGTAGGAAAAAAGAAGGGAAAATTCAAATGAATGAAATTTGGGAAAAGAGAATTCGGTGATGGGAAACAGAAAAAAAAATAAAACAGAATAAATAATTGTCAGCTAGTAGTAGTACTGGTTAAATTATAGTTCCTAGATGGGGCATTAATATTGTCACTAGAATTGTATTATACATCAAATGCTGCTGGATATACAACGTCTCCTATTTTTGTTTTTAGGCCGCTATTGGACGAACGGGATAAACTAATTTTGCTACCGTTATTTTTTCAGCTCATCGTTCAAAGAATATTTTTTGTACACTACTATACTCATATGACCTGAAAAATAATTTGGCTGTAGTCTTTGTTTATTTAGTGTTAGTAGCTAGCTTAGTATTTTTCTGTGACAACTTAAAAAAGCTGTTTTTTTTCGATGGGATCTCGTATTACTTTCGAAAAAGGGATCTTTTTTCCCATATCCCCCCTTTGCAAACGCGGGGAGAGTGTTTACTAGGTATAAAATTTACAAATATTTAACCATTGAATAATTTCACTATAGGAGTGGCAATGTGTCAAATACTGGGGAGGTTGTGAGTGGGGGTGGGGGGGTTTCAATAGATCCCGAAAAAGGGACGGGAGAATTAAAAAAGTAGACGAGATGTGTCGTGAAATTTTATACAACAACAGGTGATGAGAAACCAAAAAAAAAACAATAGGAAGACGTGTTTAAAAAATTAGTGTATTTGATATTTTTTTATCTTTGGCTGATCTTTTTCTCATCAAAAATAGGTTGACTGAATTTGTGAATTTGCGTTACTAATTTTTTTTTCATATATTTGAGATCAAATTCGATTTTTGATATGAGGATTAATCTAATCCTGGTTGGAGCGAGTGGCAAAATTGATGTTTTTAATGCGTTTCCTATTTTTCCCCTTTTCCTGAAGAAGAAAAACAGGATGAAATTTCATCAGAGAGAATGAAAAATTTGATTAGAAAATTGGGAACCGAAAAAAACTTGGAATTTAGACCTTATAGATGGGAGCATTATTATACTGCATCAATAATTTATATTGTACTGACCAAAAAAGGGGTTACCAGAACATGAAATTGAAACTGCAGCTCATAAAAATCGATGAAATGAATAAAAAGAAGCTAAATAATAAGCAGATTTAATGAATCTAAAGCTCAGATTCTCTATATCAAAAAGACCATAACCTTTACACTATTCGTAAGTACCATCGAATTTCATCATGCTAAATAATTGCATTTTTGAAGAAGAAGTTTTAGCAAAAAGGGAGACTAAACGAGAAAGAACGTGCCTATCAAAAAAAGAGAAAGAACGTGGGGGGAAGGGGGGGGGTTCAATAATAGATCCCGGAAAAGGGACGTGAGAATTAAAAAGACTTGTTTAAAAAATTAGTCTATTTGAAATTTTTTTTTGCACAAAAAAAAAATTATTGCACTTAACTTTTTTAAACTTATTTAGTCAAGGTGTTTTATATGAACTGGAAATGTCTTTCTGTATTTCTGTTTGTCAATCTGACAGATAGCAAAGAAAAAACATGACATCAATCACTGGATGACATAATTGATTACCTCCCCAAGGCAGTCAAAAAATCATAATAAATGGAGTCCATTTTATGCAGAACGGTAAAGTTCACTATTAATTTCAACTGCTTATAACTGTGTTAAACATTTTAACATGTAACAAAAATTTTTTTATTTAATAATACGAAATTTAATGCAGAATTGTTCCAGAGTAAAATTCCAAATATGTGCCATGTGCCAAAAAAAAGAAATCAAAAATGCTATATTGTTGAAAAGTCGCCTTGAGTTTCATAAAGTTTAATCAATTGAAAAACTGTACAAAGACTTTTTTTATATTTTAATCAGTGAAATAACTTTACACAAACTTTTAAACATAAACACATATGCGATGCGGGGCTTCGCGCCACTTGTGTTACAACACTGACATAAAATAAAAACATAAAACTTTAAGGTAAAGAGGCAACTGCTTTACCTCCAGGCCAAGGGGGATGCAAACTGAAGCAAGATAAGAAAAACTAAGAAGAGAAGTAACGAGAAGATAAAAAGAGAAGTGAAAAGAACCATTCAACTGATTTGTTAAGCTAGATATTAACCCGAAAAAAAGTCTATACTCCAGTTTGATAACGCTTGCTTATCGCAAGCGTAAAAATGTTCAATTACAAAAAATCTTGAACAAGTTAGTCCTTTCAATCGGGGAGGAAAAATTGAGGGACCAACCTATGAGAGTGTGTAAGAAATGTGCTCCCTCCACAATTCAAGTTTTTAATGTTTCTTTGGAAGATTAGGCTAAATTAATTTTCGTCTGACTGAACACCCGCACTAAAGTTTCTCCGTTAATAACCAATCGTTTAGCGATTTTACTTTCAAAAATAAACTTAACCATGGGACAATCAACTCGTTGTCATTTTTATGTCCGACGACAAAAAACAGATTAAATGGTTAAAATAAGTGATTAATTT